ACCCCTATCCCGGAACCCCCTATATGGAAGATGTACTCGATTTAGATGTAACCCTCTGATATTAAGGTTTACAGATCAGGGGAAGAAAGGGGACCTATCCTGGTTATCTTTCAAAAATCTGGGGATTAAGGCTATACCAAAAGGGATATGATCATGGCCTTATCATGATGCTTCACAAGGAAATACTTCCTGAGAACCCTCCTCGGATGCTGGGGCCTGCTTCCCGAGCTAATGCCCATGGGGAACACACCTGTATATACCTCAACTTTACATACCTCAACCCCCGCATCATCTACCCCTAAGGTATCCTTCACCAAGCCATGTGGAGATGTAGGGGGATTAGAAGCCTCACCTTATTTGATGGAGACCATTAAGATGGCCTTTATGGCTTTAAACCTTACACACTCCAAAGCCACAGAGACCTGTTGGCTTTGCTTACAGCCACTAGCCCCTATCTTAAAGCCTTTGGAGTAAATGGCTCTTATGAGACACTAGATAAAGCTGATATTCGTAGATGGGAAACCCCCCAAATGGGATAGATGTTGGGACTTACTATCCCCCTTTAGCAGATGTTGAATGCAACTTGTGTCTCATACACCAGACACCTTCACTTGTGATGTGGCTAATGGGTCTATAGCTTCATGGACAGTGTCCAAAGAATATGGGTAGTTTTGGATCTGCCAAGAGACAGGGTTACTCCCTGTCTGTCTGACCCAATGATCATTCAGCACAATGATACTTGCCTGCTTGCATTAATTTTCCCTCTCATCTCTTCCCTAATTAGGCCAATGGCTATTTGTTTATTGGTCTGTCTCTTTGGCCCATGTGTTCTCCAAAGGCTGAAACAAGCATTCCAAAAACAGATACAACAGGTACAACTCATGGTCCTTTGAGTACATTATGATAAGCTTGATACATATCACCCTACAGGTGAACTCTCAATTTGAGGGTACCTAGGTAAAAACTCTGGATAGGGGTGACCCTGACCCAGACCCTCTCCCTGGTGGTGAACAGGGTGGGGGGTGGGATCTAAAACAAAAAAGGGGGAGATGTTGGGCCAAAATTATCTCAGGGCCTGTACCTCAAAGCCTGTAGGACAGAAAAAAGCCTGGCTCGAGTTTGAAGGATAGTCTCAAAGTGAGGACGAGACAGCAAAATCTAGGTAGATGCCCCTCCAGCCAGAGGGAGGGTCTGGCAGTCTCTCATTGGCTGGAGGTATCCCTACATCACATGATGTCACTTAACGGATATAAGCTGCCACTCAAAATAAAAACTGAGTTCCTGCTTTGACTCCACTTCCTATCGTGTCTGATTGTCTTGCATTGTGATCTGATTGTTCTGCTTTGTGGGGCTGCAGAACAGGCAGATAGTACACTCACCTTTCCCTGGGGAATAAGGCTAAGGAGGCAATGGTAACCCCCGCTAGGACAGGCCCCAGGTAACTGGTTACAGGATGAGACCCTGGAGTCCCTACCTTTGTTCTGTGTTGGTTCTTTGGCTGAAGGTAAAGAAATAAGCCATTGCTCTTGACCTTTTCTGTTCATGGCAGGATGGTTATTCATAAGAAACCAGAAAAATGGACAGGGTTTCTGTCTGGGTGTCCTCATAAGCTTGATCCAAAGTGCAGCCACAAAGTGCAGGCACTGTGGAGCCATACTCTTTAGCCAGAGACCACTGCCTTATACAGCAAGCAGAGTTCTAAATGTTCGCTGTGGGACATTCAGCAAGCTTGTCTTCTCTGTGCTGGTCTGAAGGGTGAACTGTTTGCTTTTCTTATTAATGTGACCAGACACCTGATAAAAGCAGCTTAAAGGAAAGACCTGGTTTATATTTATTTGTTTAGACTTATTTACTTCATTTTATGTGTGCATGTGTTTTGCTCACATGTATGTCCATGTCTGAACATCATGTACTTGGTGCCCAGAGGAGTCAGAAGGAGGCACTGGCCCCCTGTACTCTGAGTTTCACAGATGGTTCTGAGCCACAAGGTGAGTGCTAGGAGTGAAACCTACATCCTCCACGAGAACAGCATCTCTCCAGTCCTGGACAAGGGTCTTATTTTAGCACATAGTTCAAGGGGACAGTTCATCTCGGTGGGGAAAGCATGCTGGCAGGACCTTGGCCACAGTCGGGAAGCTGAGAGAGAGAAACACTGGCACCATAGGATAGTGCCATGCACGTCTAGGGTGAGACTTCCCCCTCAGTGAAATATTTCTGGAACTATTTTCATAGGCACAAACAGTTGTTTCCATGGGGATTTTAAACCCTTTTATGTTTACAAGGAAAATCAACCATCACAACTTGTCTTCTCAAACCGTTTATTGGGGATGGGTGACCCTCCCTTATTGGAGCCACCAAACCCCAGGCTCCTTTTCTAGAAGTTCTAACAACTTTACTCTGCTCTCAACCACCCCACATTAGTTACTCATGACCCTCATCATCCCCCTATTGGTTTCCAAGTTTCCCCCTCTCTTTCTTCTTCCCAGAAAAGGCACTGTGTATGGTCTTTGTCTCAATTTGACAAGTGTGAGAAACGAAGTTCTTTCTCTTCCTAGTTTGACTATGCGTAAATAGGTTATCCTTAGCCAATCATGTTTCCTAATTTCCTTTAAAAAAGCAAGGAGACCAAGACTGCTGGTTATAGACTCTGTATCTTGAGAGTAGTAACTCAGAGCCCTTTGTCCTCCCATGAAAGACAGACAGCCTATCCCTTTGTTCACTTCAGAAGGTGCCTGGGCCAGGTAAACTAATATTAAAGAAACACGTTTACTTTTCCCAAGCACATTAGTTTTGGTGAATGAGTCTTAGCCATGACCCAAGGATGGGCCATATCAAGAGGAAATCCTGGAAAGAAGCCGTGTGTGCCCAGACAGGCTGATTAGGGCTGCAGTGGTGTGGGGAGGCTGTAACCTGCCAGGCTTATTACCCTGACATATGCTGAACAGCCGATCCTTGCTCACCTCTGGGTCTCAACACTTTGTGACTAATTTACAAATCTTTGGAATCTATTAATTTAGCAGACCACTAGCTTCTACCAATCAAAAGTTATGAATGCCATCAGCTAGCATCTGAGGCCTAGAGAAAAGTCTCCCCCATCTTGCTGCAGTTACTGATGTTCCCACCCATGTATTTTAAACCTGCCTTAACTTATGACTGTCTTTGTTCTGTAAAACGATGGCACTGCTTTCACACTGGGATATAGAATTGGGGTAACCGAAATCTGGGTTCCTGGGCCATGATCGTTCACATTAGTTCCAGAATACACTATCTCTTATTCCTAAGAAAGCACTGCATGTTTTCATCAACAATGACAAATAAATAATTTCTTCTACCCAGGTACACAAACATTTCTGTTTCCAGGAAAATGCTGTGTCTCATTCATAAAAGTGTAAGCACATAAAAAAAATTTAAAAAGCTTTGCCTGTCAGGAACTGGTTAAGATACTGGCTTTGAGCTCTTTGCAGCATCAAGAGTTGGCTGGAACCAGGGACCTTTGCAAAAGTGCAGACCAACTGTCCCTAGCAGCTAGCCCCCTGTCAACACCCAGCTTTGTGGTCTAGACAGGAGCAAAAATAACTGCTTGGGGGGATGGAAGGGGACATGCACAGGAGCAGAAGTCGTCCATACCCTGTATTCAGCAAAACCAACCCCCTTGACCCTAAGTAAACCTGGCTTGCAGTTTTTGTATATATATACAACCCCAAATGAGGAACGGGAGCTCTCCCTACTGTGCTGCATCGCATTTGGGAACCACTCCAAGCTAGGTGGCATAAGAATTAAACCTTGCTTTTGCATTCTGGACTTGACTGGATTTCAGTGGTCTCTCTGGGGAGAAGGGGGTCTCTCAACTTGGGAACAACAAAAGAATTTTAGAATGGACTCAGGAGGATTGAGCCAGCAACCTGGGCCAGAGCAGACCTGAAAGCAAACTCCACCAGAACAAGTATAAGGAAGCAACTGCTGAGCAAGTGAGCCAGAGCCAGAGACCACTAATGATCCGGACAGAAATCTGGGACCTTTAAGGGAGTAGACCTAAGCTAGGACTCCTGTGGGTCTAGGCATGAGTCTAGGACCTCCAAGGGAGTAGGCAGGAACCAGAGATCTCTGCTGGTTCAGGCATGAATCTGGGACCTCTGACAGAGTAAGCCTGAGCCAAGTCCTCTGCAGGTCTCGGCACATCTGAGCCTGAAAACTCCAAGGGAGTAGACTGGAGCCAGAGTCCTTTACAGGACCAACCCCAAGCCAGGGACTTCTGCAGGAACAGATCCAGACCAGGGACATTTACAGAAACAGGTCTGAGTAGACAACCTAGACTAGAGCAGGCCTGGGACAGCAAACTCCAAGGGAGTGGAGCAAAGCCAGGAGCACTGAGTGACCTCCAGGAACACAGAGTGACCAAAGGGGTAACTAGAACTGTAGCTGTAACATGAGGAACAACCGTCTGAGTCTTGGATTCACTGGCACTAGGTGAAGATTAATCAACAGAATCACCCTGGAATAGAAATAGCTTACTCGGAAAGAAAAAGAGCACCTGAAGATTGGAAGCAGACTAGTGAGCCCCCAAAGATCACAGCAATGCAGTACATGGTCTTCTATAGCCCCCCTCCATCCTGTTTGGATTTCCAGGGCTCCGTTCAGCACACTGTTTGTCAGATGAGCCAGGGTCGAGAAGGGTTTCCAGTGTTTCCACTAGCTGGCTTCTTACTCTTGCGCAGGCGCATTAATCTTGATGACGCCTTTCTAGATCCCACTCTCCTGTCACACTCCCGGGATGACTTACTCAGCCTTTCTCCTCTTCCTTCATTAAATCCCCTCAGCAGAGGACCCTCCCTGTTTGCTGAGAGCAGGATACAAATGCCTACAAAGTTAGGCATGGCGCCACAGTCAATGTGATCTTAGGGCGGAATTTTCCAAAGTTCGCCACGCCTGGCAAGCCAGCACTTCCAGCACCTGTGTGGCACAGGGCCACTAGGAGGAGGCGGCTGTTTTCTGTTCTTTTCTTAAATATGGAATGCTTCATGAATTTACATGTTAGCACAGGAGCCGTGCTAATCTTCTCTGTACTGTTCCAACTTTAGTATGTGTGCTGCCAACATGAGCACAGGGCTATATTAAGTGCTCACTGGTCAGGTACTGACCCATAAAGTAGAACCACATATTATTAACTTTTGTTTTATTTTAAATACTCGGCTATTAAGTCGTTAAAAGCTAGCAGGCTCAAAGAGCACTGAATGGGCCCCATCTAATTTTATCACAATTGTCCTTCTTAGAATTTAAAATACCATATCAATAAAGATGTCTGTAATAAAACATTTGAAAAACAGAAAAATATAAGGAAAGTGGAGTGACGGCCCAGATGAGGAGCCATAGCTTGGCATGTGCCTTTGAGCCCTTCCCTTCCTGTCTGCATAGCCGTCCCCATATCAAATGGGTTCTCCTCTCACAACTCGGTGCTTTTAATGGTCTCCACGCTCACTTTCTAATGCCTGCCCAATATTTGGATCATGAATAAAACAGAAGCACATGGTTAATGCTGACTGCCAACTTAACCAGGTCTAGATGAGCCAAAGAACAGACCTCTGGGCCTGTTTGTAATGTCTATAATGGAGTTTTCAGATTAAGTTAACTAAGGCAGAAGTTACCTCTAACTTCGGGCAGCTCCATAACTTGGAACAGGGACCAGCCACCTCATGCTCCTGGTGCCACACCTTCCCCACCATAATGGGCTTTATTTTAAATTGTAAGCCATACACAGTAAACAGTTTCTCACCAAACTCGCTTCTATTAATGTGTTTGGGTAGAGCAACAAGAGAAGTAGCTAACAACACAATTATAAAAGCACTCCCTGGGGCTGGAGAGGTGGCCAAGTGGTTAAAAGCACAGACTGCTCTTCCAGAGGACCAATTTTGGTTCCCAGCACCCACATGGTGGCTTTCACTATCTGTAATTCAAGTCCTAGGGGATCTAATGCCCCCTGCAGGCCTCTGTGAGTACCACACATACGCATTGCACAGATATACATGCAAGCACATGTAAATTAACAATAAACTTTTTAAAGCATTCTTATTTCAATATTGACGATCCATCAATATTGCTGTGTCTAGTGATGATACATCACTGCAAAGGGTTATCTGTGCCAGAAGCTTCCTTTAATACTTTGGGTTGTGAATTACTTCATTAGAATATCTATCTTGTGAGTCAGATTACAGGTTGGGACTTGTGGAGCCCAGCCCCCACTGACCCAGTGGTGTACCATAAGCATTATTTTAAATTTTTGAAAACTTGCTTAAGTTCTTTCTCATTCATGGGATTGCTTTTTTAGGACTTATTGTCTAGCTTTTGACATTCAGGGTTACTAGTTCTGGAAGAAAATCTAATTCCAAGCCTTTTGAAGATTTTTCTCACACACAGGAATCCCATTTGACTATTCTAAACTCTATTTTCTTCAGCCCATACCAGGATGGCGAAATATTCAAAACACTTACAGCTTTTCCTCTAATGACCAAATACCATTTCAGAGTTTACATTTTTAAGCTTTTGATTGTGGGATATTGGGGCTGTGGTAAGAAGTGTCAACAAAAACACTTGTGTGCTTAGGCCTGTCCCCACTAAGAAATGGTTGGATCCTGAGTACTCTGACCTAATCAATGGCTTGGTCAGTGTATGTATTCATAATTTTGTGGTACTACTGAGAGGTAGTAGAAATGGAAATGTGGGGCTTAGTGAGAGGAAGAAGGTCTCTCTCTTAGTGAGAGGAAGGTCTCTCTCTTAGTGAGAGGAAGAAGGTCTCTCTCTTAGTGAGAGGAAGAAGGTCTCTCTCTTAGTGAGAGGAAGGTCTCTCTGTTAGTGAGAAGGTCTCTCTCATAGTAAAAGGAAGGTCTCTCTGTTAGTGAGAGGGAAAAGGTCTCTCTGTTAGTGAGAGGAAGAAGGTCTCTCTCTTAGTGAGAGGAAGAAGGTCTCTCTCTTAGTAAGAGGAAGAAGGCAGTTTTTGAAGTGTACACCTTGTCCCCGGCTCCTATCCTGTCCCTCAGCTTCTCCTCTGTTGTGAGGTGGACAGCTCTACTATTTTGTGCCTTCTTGATCTTCCTGTTTGTCCTCCTGTGTCTAAGGGAATAGAGACAGCTGACCACGGAGCAGTGGTTCTCAACCTTTCCCCTCCTGCGGCTCTTTAATACAGTTCCTCATGTTGTGGTGACCCCAGCCATAAAATTATTCTCTTTGCTGCTTCATAAATGCAGTTTTGCTACTGCTATGACTTGTAATGCAAATATATTTGGAGATACAGGCTTGTCAAAGGAGTTGTGACCCACGGGTTGAGAACCACTTCCATAGCTCCAAACCCCTAAAACCACAAGGCAAAATAATGTTTCCCTCTTTTTAAGTTTCTTTTCCTATTATTTTGCCAAGGCAATAAAAAAAAACTAACATACCCAATGGTGATCATATACTCCTACGGTGAAGTCTGCCATCCTAGCCATTTTCAGGTGTGTAGCTCGGTGGCATGAAGAACACAGTGTAGTCATCAACACACCATCTCTAGAACTTTCTCATCTCCTAAACTGAGGCCCCTCACCAATTAAAACTCCCCAACCCTCATCTGTGGATGCCACCTCGCAACACCCAGCTGTCTGTCTTTGAATCTGTTGCTCTAGGAGCCAGTGAAGGTAAAACCATACGGCATTTGTCGTTTCCTGTGGCTGGCTTATTTTACAGAGCACAGTGTCCCTATGTCAGTGATGCCCTATGGTGTTTTCTTTCTCCACCCACTGAGGGAGAAACTCCGCCTCTCTGCATGCGGGGATATAATGGAAAGTACCATGGTGCCCACAGATGTGTACGTATTCTTCAGGGCTCTGCTGTCAGTGGACATAAGCCCACGAGCAGAATTGCTGAGTCATACCCATACTTGATGTTCAATGAGCAGCCATACTCTTCCCATGGCGCAGGACCGTTTCATACTCCCTCCCCTTTCCCAGATTCCTGCTAATGTTTTTGTTTTGTTCTTGCTCTGTGTAGGTGTGGTGTTGTTTTTTCTACAGTACTGAAGATCAAACCAGGGCCTTGTAATACAAAGTAGGTCTCTACCACTGAGTTAAACCCCTAGCCCTTTTATTTCCTTTGCTTTTTTTTAATAACAGGTGTAAATTGACTATGTTTAGCTTTTGATACTCTTTATAAATTACCTCATTCCATCCAAGCACTTTAACCTTTTGGTTTTGTTTTAAAGGTCTAGAGGCGTCTAAAAAGCACAAATTAGCTAATAAGATTATACATGTCTGTCTCTATCCCGAGAAAAGGAGAGATTGAAAGAGATCCCATGTGTGAATGCAAGCACCCGGGACTCCATGCCACACCCTGCCCCATGGCCACCTGTCCATCTTCACCAATGCAGGTCACACCTCTCTGCTCCACCAGCTGGCAGCCTCAATTATACAGTCACCATGACAACAGTAAATCCAGGCCAGCAGCAACAGGATGTTATGTTTCTTGTCTCCAATCAACCACAGCAAACACCCAGGCTTGCAGCCCTTGAATGGCCTGCCTTGCCCTTTCCTAGACCTAACTGCACTAGAAAACAGTGCCAAATACTGTCTGTTCCTTACATCAAGACCTGAATATCTATATTTACATTTAAATTGCTTTTCTTTCCCAAAGAATGGAAAGCTATTATGTTAATAATGTGCCTATCACTGAAGGTTGGAAAGGCAAGCTGGAGTTAGGGAAGAACCTTCCAGACTTGTTTTCTGCTGAGGGAAGGGTAACAGTTGTGTCTGTCATTTTGTTGGTACTGTGTTTCTGGTTACACAAAACATATATGCGCTCACACACATTTTGTGTCTTTTTTGATCAGAGTTTGGTGGGCTCAGACTAATAAAATATTGTTAAGATAGTATGCTTAATGATTTCTCCAAAAAAAAAGCAGCACAAAGTACAATGCAAGGAGTCTGGAGTCGTGCCAGATGGTTGGCCACGTGGTTGGCAGGATCCACACCTGGCCTGGCCTGGCCTGGCGTCACATTCCCCCAGAAAGCAAACACAAAGTAGGGCTGGGCACAGTTGGCATCCTGCTCTCCTTCCTTCCAGGGGCCAGTGTTGTCCTTCCCTGCTGGCTCTTGCTGCCCTCTCAGACACACAGCTCTCCCCCATCCTGAGATTCCTGGTGGAGGCCACGGGGCTGACCCTCTGCACGACCAACCGACAAGCATTTGGCTTAGTGTTTCAGCACAGACCAAAGCTCGGCTCCTGCACTCAAGGGCGGGCCTGCCCTGTCCCCAAGGCTGGTGACTTCTCTGCTGCCAACAGACACCTGCAGCTAGACAGGGTCATAGAAGAGCACCCGTGCCAGCTCAGACGCTGCCGCAGCAGGACACTTGCCCTCCCCACAGGCAGTAAGCTGAGAGGAAACGCATGGTGTGCCTGCCTCTCCAGCCTGCCTGGGGTTTCTGGGGGCCACTGTATACCCAGCCTCACTCTGTAACACACAACTGTGACCTTCGAGCATAATGTCCAGCCCTCCTGTAGTTCAAACAGTGAACTCCCAAGAACTGGTCATCCACCAACCAAGACACAAAGTAGTTTCCTTTATTTGAGAAGTCCTTGGCCACTCCCTTCCCTGCTGACAGCCACTCAGCCAGCCCTTGCAGGAGCTGGCTTTAAAAAGGACTTCCTGCCGGGCGCACGCCTTTAATCCCAGCACTCGGGAGGCAGAGGCAGGCGGATCTCTGGGAGTTCGAGGCCAGCCTGGTCTACAAGAGCTAGTTCCGGGACAGGCACCAAAGCTACAGAGAAACCCTGTCTCGAAAGAAAAAAAAAAGAAAGAAAGAAAGAAAGAAAAAGAAGGACTTCCTGTGAGCTTAGCCTCAAGACATGAACACAGAAGATGTGCAGTCACCGAGCACAGGCTGGGTGTGCGGGGCAAGCAGGGCTAGTGCTGAGGAAAGCCAGCACACCGAACTCATGCTCAGCCTCACTTCCCTACACCAGAGTCCGTCATGAGCCATGCTCCTGCCTCCTGCCCCTGAGCTTCTAGAGAACAGCCCTAAACTCAGGGAACAGGGCCAATGGCTCTGAGACACTATCACATCCAAAGACAAACAGTTGT